CGACGGAGCAAATACAAATATTCCAAAAAGCGCTGCAATGATAACGCGTTGAAGAGAAATTGCGTTCGACCCGCTCACTGAGATACATATATATATATATACATAGTTACCTCGGTTAAGATCGCCAATCCATCCGCAAAGTCCGTCTACCGCAACGTACACTGAATATGTAAACGCTATTTTGTTTGTTGGGGTGCTAGACCAGACAGAACTCCACGCGCGATCACCCGAACCAACTTGGCACCGGCCACTTGCTATCACCAGAAAGAGAAATGTGTCTCGTGGCCGTCCCCATCGTGGCAAGGTACCGGTCCGAGAATATGTGGTATTGCGTCTGCGGTACACTGAGAAACGTGCTCGCTGCTCCGTGCCCGACACCAACGCGCTGTAAGGATGAGAGATAACCCAAGCACTTAACTCGAGGCCCATGTGCGAAAGCACCCTGAAGATCTCTCCCCGGACCAAGTTGCACACCCCAGACGACGCTTCGACCAGCACCCAATTAGCCTGGCGAAGGACCCAACCATATGCAGTTGAGAGTACCGCAATTGTGAATATCTTCTTCGGTGGCGCTCCCTATGGGGCCACGAGCCGTATGAGGGGTGTGCCGAAATGCGTGGCAGTGTACACAACACGAACGAAGACGATAGGTCCGAATATGAAAGCTTGAGCGCGTGCGAGTCGGATCGCGAGCGAGTCTGATTATGAATGAATCTGCGCGCGATTGATTCTATTCGCATGAATGCGTGCATGGATACGCCCAGTGTAAATGTATGTATACGACTGTGAACAGTTTGGGTCTGCGTGACTCTCGGTACTCGTGACTCTGAGCGTCGCCTCTGCAGGGGGCTTCCCTGGGAACCCCGACGGCAGCGCCCGCGCGCCGCGACGCCCATGTCGGCACGCCACACACCTGGTGTGCGGGACGCATGCGGACGGCAGCACTGGGGCCTTCGGTGGAGCTCCCTGTGGGGCCACGAAACGTGTGAGGGGTGTGCCGAAATGGGTGTGCGGGACGCATGCGGACGGCAGCCATTGGGGCCTTCGGTGGAGCTCCCTATGGGGCCACGAAACGTGTGAGGGGTGTGCCGAAATGGGTGTGCGGGACGCATGCGGACGGCAGCACTGGGGCCTTCGGTGGAGCTCCCTGTGGGGCCACGAAACGTGTGAGGGGTGTGCCGAAATGGGTGTGCGGGGCGCATGCGGACGGCAGCCATGGGGCCTTCGGTGGAGCTCCCTATGGGGCCACGAAACGTGTGAGGGGTGTGCCGAAATGGGTGTGCGGGACGCATGCGGACGGCAGCATGGGGCCTTCGGTGGAGCTCCCTATGGGGCCACGAAACGTGTGAGGGGTGTGCCGAAATGGGTGTGCGGGGCGCATGCGGACGGCAGCCATGGGGCCTTCGGTGGAGCTCCCTATGGGGCAAACGAAAACGTGTTGAGGGGTGTGCCGACATGGGTGTGCGGGACGCATGCGGACGGCAGCACTGGGGCCTTCGGTGGAGCTCCCTGTGGGGCCACGAAACGTGTGAGGGGTGTGCCGAAATGGGTGTGCGGGACGCATGCGGACGGCAGCACTGGGGCCTTCGGTGGAGCTCCCTGTGGGGCCACGAAACGTGTGAGGGGTGTGCCGAAATGGGTGTGCGGGACGCATGCGGACGGCAGCCCTGGGGCCTTCGGTGGAGCTCCCTGTGGGGCCACGAAACGTGTGAGGGGTGTGCCGAAATGGTGTGTGCGTGGACGCATGCGGACGGGGCAGCCATGGGGCGGGGGAGACGCATGCGGACGGCAGCCATGGGGCTTTCGGTGGAGCTCCCTGTGGGGCCACGAAACGTGTGAGGGGTGTGCCGAAATGGGTGTGCGGGACGCATGCGGACGGCAGCATGGGGCCTTCGGTGGTGCTCCCTGTGGGGCCACGAAACGTGTGAGGGGTGTGCCGAAATGGGTGTGCGGGACGCATGCGGACGGCAGCCATTGGGGCCTTCGGTGGAGCTCCTTATGGGGCCACGAAACGTGTGAGGGGTGTGCCGAAATGGGTGTGCGGGACGCATGCGGACGGCAGCCACTGGGGCCTTCGGTGGAGCTCCCTGTGGGGCCACGAAACGTGTGAGGGGTGTGCCGAAATGGGTGTGCGGGACGCATGCGGACGGCAGCACATGGGGCCTTCGGTATGGGCTCCCTTGTGGGGACACGAAACGTGTGAGGGGTTAACTCGGTGTGCCGACACATGGGTTACCTATATGTGCGGGACGCATGCGGACGGCAGCCAGGGGGGCCTTCGTTTGGAGCTCCTATTGGGGGCCACGAACGTGTGAGGGGTTGTTGTGCCGCGAATATCGGGTTGTGCGGGACGCATCAGCGGGACGGCAGCCTTCGGTGGGTTCCTTATGAGGCCACGAAACGTGTGAGGGGTGCGCCGAAATGGCTGGGTTTGCGCGGGAGCATTTGCGGGCGGCAGCCCTGGGGCCTTCGGTGGAGCTCCCTATGTGGCCACGAAACGTGTGAGGGGTGTGCCGAAATGGGTGTAGGGGACGCATGCGGGCGGCAGCCCTGGGGCCTTCGGTGGAGCTCCCTATGGGGCCACGAAGCGTGTGAGGGGTGTGCCGAATTGGGTGTGGGTGACGATGATGATGATGATGATGATGATGACGACGATGACAATGACGATGACATGACGATGATGATGATGATGATGATGATGATGATGATGATGATGATGATGATGATGATGATGATGATGATGATGATGATGATGATGATGATGATGGGAGGAGGGAGGAGGGGGAGGAGAGAGGAGGAGGAGGAGGAGGTGGGACGCGGGGCGCTGTCTCTTCAAAACGAGGACCCAACACCACAGGATGGTTGGGAAAAACAAACCAGACCTCCCAAAACACGGCCCAAAACCTCTCGGCGGTGTCGAAAGACTCAGGATCCAAGAACCGGAGGACCAATCTCTTGTTGTATACAATATCACAAGGTCGAACTCGAATATGTACACTGTTGTTGACTGACCTGACTAGCGTGGCGCGCCTTTGATCGCAAGCTGCTGCTTAGGCGACGCTGGCGTCAACTCTGTGTGAGGCGCCAGGCAACTGACAAAGAGACATTTGATCACGAACGGCGATGTGCAATCAACACGTCAACGGGCACAGGGATACAGAGAGGCACGGTAACCTGCCTGTGTGTGCAACAGCACCTCCAGCGTTGTCCTGAAATTGGGGTGATCGTCCCTGCGAGGCCGGGTCACGCAGCACAGCGTGCACAGAAATTTAGGCATATAGCTGCGATGACTACAGCGCATCATGACACCTGCAACTTCACCCGGAGCTGTGTATGACCTACGGCACAGACCCTAAACTGCAAGGCGGACGGAACATACAGCAATCGTAGTCTTCAGAAACACAGACACGCACACAAGCATACACACACGCACACATGCACACACGCACTGGCAAATCACATGCGCACATGCGCACACACGCACACGCACACACGCACACACGCACGCACGCACACATGCACACACGCACACACACACACACACGCACGCACACACACCCACACACACACAGACATACAAACACACCAACACAACCACACAAACACACACACACACACAAAGACACACGCAGACGCACACACACACACACGCACACGCAAACACACAGGCACACACAAGGACACACACAGACACACAAACACACACACACACACACACACCGCACACACATACACACAAACACACACGCACACACGTAAACACGCACAAGCGCACACACACGCACACACTCACACACACACACACATGCGCGAAAACACACGCGCACGCACGCACACACACACGCACACACATGCACACACGCACACACACGGACACGCACACGCCCACGCACGCGCTCACGCACACGCACACGCACACGCACTCGCATAAACATACAACCGCACACGCACACAAACGCACACATAAACACACACACACCCACACACGCACGCACACAAACACACAGAACCACAACCACAACCACAACCACCACAAGCACAAGCCCAAGCACAAACCCACACACAGCCAAACAATAACACACAGACGCGCATGAGAACACCCACAAACACTATCACAAACACAAACATAAACCCAAACACAAACATAACACCACAAACCCACACACACAAACGCAAACGCAAACCCAAACACAAACATGAGCACAACCATAAACACACCCAACTACAACCACACACAGAAACACAAACACACAAACGCACACTTACACAAACACAAAACACAAGCACACAAGCACACACACAAACACACACACAAACAAATAAACCCACACATACACAAACAACATACAAACACGCAAACACATAAACGCACAAACAAATAAACACAAACACACGCACACAAACACACAAACACACCCGGACAAAAACACACACAAAGACAAGCATAAACAAACACACACACACAAACACATACACAATTGATAACACAAACACAACCACAATCACACTCATAAACACACAAACACACAAACACACACAAACACACAAACACACACACAAACACAACCACAAACAGAAGCGCAAACACACGCAAATACAACCACAAACACTCACACAAACAAACAAACAAACACACAAATACACAAACCCACACAGACACACAAACACACACACACAAACTGACAAGCACACACAGACACACAAACACACAAACACACACGAACAAACACAAACACAAAGACAAGCATAACAACACACACACACAAACACAAACACGAACACAAACACAAACACAAACACACGCACACACAAGCACACACATAAACACACGTACACACAGGTACACACACGCACACACAAACAAACACAAACACACACACAAGCACACACAAACACACACAAGCACACGCACCCACTCATACACACGCACTCCAAGATCTGGCCGACGCTGGGCACCTGGATGCCCAGTGGTGGTAATCATGCTTTCCTTTTCCCGGCTCCTTGAACACAAAGGCGCACGGCTTGCAGGCTCCCCACCGGTGCAGCGCCGAGCCCCTGCTGGGCACCGATGCAGCGCCTGGCTCGGGCGTCTCCTCGAGCGCGCCCTGCGGTCGCAGCGCCCTGCCGCTGCGGCTGAGTTCGGCGGTCTCCAGCCTCGCCGCTGACGCGGGCGGCACCGCAGGCGGCGCCGTCGGCAGCGCCGCGGGCGGCGCCAGTGGCGGAGCCAGCGGCGGCGCCAGCGGCGGCCTCGCGGCAGCCTCGCCCACGGCGTGGAGCGCGGGCGCCAGGCACGGAGGCAGCTGCGCAGGGGGCGGCACGAGCGGCGTGGGTCGCGACGCCTCGCGCACCAAGGCGTCGCCCCACCTGTGCACCCCTGGCGGGCCATGCATGTGGTGCTCGCGGGCGACGGCGCTGGGGCAGTGCCAGCCTCCAGGCGCTTGTTGCGGAACGTACTGCCCAAACTGCGGCTCCGCCCACGCGGCCAGGCTCTCGCCAGGCAGCAGGGACGCAGAGCCGCCAGCGCTGCTGCTGGCGCTGTCGCCGACGCCTAAAGGCTCCCAGCAGGCAAATGCGTGGAGCTCGCTGTCCACCGCCAGCCACTGCTCCTCGTTCAGCCGCAGCCACGGCGCCATGGACTGCTCCACCTGAATCCAAGGCTGCTCGCATTGCCCTGCGGGCGCGTCGTACTGGAGGCCGGCATCGGCGACCTGGTGTAAGCAGCCCGAATGCTCGTTGCGCGGCGTGCGGGGCAGAGGGGTGGGCGCCGCACTGCCGTCTGGCGTCTCTATGAAAAAGGGCACCTCCTGCATGGGCAACGCGGTGGCGACGTCGAGGCTGCCGCTCGCCGGCGTCGAGCGTGCGAGTCGCGGCACCAGGAACGGCTCCAGCGAGGCCGACCTCTGGAGGTGCAAAAAAACGTCATAAAGACAAACTCTTGGACTTCTGCATGGAATTCTTGGATCTGCGTTGGACCCCCCTTCCCGGCACGCGGAGCGCGCCGGGGGCGGTGAGGAGCGGCGCCAGAGGCGCCGTCAGGGGGGTCCAACGCAGGCGCAAGAAGTCCGTGCGGAGCTCCGAAAGCTTCTGCTCGTGCCGTCTTCTCTCGAACCTCTGCGGCGCGGCGTTCAGGAAGGTGTGCCGCACGCGCAGCTCGGGGGGCATCTCGCAGAGGCTGCCGCCGTCGAGGGGCCGCCTCTCAGGGATCTTCTGGCCCGGGTCCATGCAAACCCAAGCCGGTCACGCTTTGCGGGATCCTGCAGGATCCCGCACGATCCTGCACCCTGGCCCGCGTCAGTGCCACCCCTGGCCCTGCAGGATCCTGCAGGATCCTGCAGGATCCGGCGCCCTGGCGGATGATGACGATGATGATGATGATGATGATGATGATGATGATGATGATGATGATGA